GTCTTGAGTCCCCAATAAATTTTCTTTGTATATTGAGGTGGGTAACTTTTCCATTTCACCCGTAGGGGTCCATTCATTGAGTTTTTTGTCATCCGAAAAATCATCGTAATCCTCTGGGTTCCTAATAACATTATTTTCTATCATGTTCTCTTGTTCTAAAGTCATAAGCACGAGGTGTTTCTTTGAGTGCGAACTGCTAACCAGAAAAAAACGGCCTGAGGTTAGAATAGGTTAGATCGTTAGCTTATATATAGAGACAAAGATGTAAATTCAATGACGTAATAATCATATGATCTGTATTCTGGTAGCTAACTAATAAAAATAGGCCATTAGCACATGATATGCTTTGCAATATTGAGTGAAGTGCATTTGATTATTTCCCTGCTTCTTAAGTCTTCTTTTACTAACTTTATCGACAAAAAGCTTTGTTTTAAAAGTTCTTTACTAAAATTTTTTATATAAGGGCTCCACCTCCTGCTAGTTATCTTATATAATATCACTTTTGGCTTGCATACCAAATATATAAAAAAGTCTCTAAGGTGAAGTAGAACCCTAGTTGACCTTTGTAAAAACTGTTGTTGTAAAAGAGTCTTCTTCATCATATTCTAACAAAATTTTTATTTTTTTGCTTTTTCAGTTTTTTGGGAAAAAGGATCATCAAAAAGAGTTATGTATCAGTATTAATGAATAGATAATCATTATTAAAGTCCTTAAATTTGATAAAAATATATAAAATAATTAAAACAACTAAGTAAAAAGAAATCCTACTTAGTGCTAGTTCACTATCATAACTTGTCAGTAAATTAACTATTAACTAGCAGATATTGAACTCATGACTACTAGCCTTATAGTCACAAATTCAAACCACTTTACTAAAGCAGGCAGATAATAAAAATTTTATATGTACTCCTTAAAAATGTCTAAATTTGATGACAAGTAGCCAATAAAAATAAAGAATTATATATATTTAAAATTAAGGTTTGATTAATTTCAGAAGAAAATTTAAAGTATATTAACTTTAAATTATTAAAAAAAAATTAAAGTTTTTGCCAACAACAAAGATAACAAGAAAATATAGAGACTAACATAAAAAGGAGAAGTTATCATACAGAAATATAAAGAGATATAATAATATTATAGCAAGAGTATAATAAAAATAAAAATATTAAAATAAAAATTTAAATATATAGAGTCAAGAA